ATAAATCTCTGAGCTAGGCTCTTTGTGTGTTTTGTTCACTACACCTTGATAACTGCCAGGTGGGTTTCATTTAGTTTGTTGAGCGCCAGTGGAAGGGGCTGGAGAGATGGCTCAGTGGTTAAGAGCACTGGCTCCCCTTCCAGAGGACCAACTTAATCTCCAGCAACCACACGGCAATTTGCAACCACCTGTAATCCAGGTCCAGAGGTTTTTGAAACTGTCTTCTAGGCTCTACTACCAGGCGTGCAAGTGCTCCATAGACCTAACACCCATCACATAAAGGAAGCCGGGCATGGTGGTGCACACCTGTGCTCAAAGCACTTGGTATGTGGGAAGGAGAATCAGAAGTTCAAGGCCAGTTTCAGCGATGTAGTGAATTGGGTGTCAGCTTGGACTATAAATCGCTGTCTTAAAAATATAATTTAAAAGAATTGGACCAAGTAATTTGTACAAGGATAAATCTAATAATGAGTACAACTTTGATCACAAAACTACTGTCACTTCAAGGACTAAAAGAAAAGCCAATCTTTAAACTATTCTTTGCTGAGCTGGGCAGTGGTGACACAAGCCTTTAATCTCAGCACTGGGTAGGCAGAGGCTATCCTGGTCTACAAAATGAATTCCAGGACAGCCTCCAAAGGTACACAGAGAAACCCTGTCTCGAAAAACAAACAAACAAAAAAACAAAACCAAAAGTCAGCATTATTTGCTGAGTTAATACTTGCAAAATAATAAATAAAGCTTACATAGCATATTACTGTTTGAGAAAAGAATTCTGATACTTTGACTTCAGGGGACATTGAAATGTGGCTGGAGAGCCAAGTGATGTCTGCATACTTGAGGCTGTTTGCTGAAGAAGGTCGCAAGCTATCTCCTAAGAGAGGTGAGGCGTGTACACAACAGTTATTTCACTGCCAGTGCGTGCAAGGTGACAGGCACATTTAAAAGCAGGAAACGTCTTAACTAGAGAATCGGTGGAGGGCTGCATCTTGGCTATCTTAACAGGTGCAGGCCTCACCTGCCTCTTGGAGCACGGAGAAAGCAACGAATTGCTCTTCCTGTGTGGCCCAGTCCTCCAAGACATGGGTGGAGTGCGGCGGAGACTAACTCTGTAGTGGCGCCAGGCTCCCACAATTCTGCTCTGGCCTCTGCAGGCCGGCAGCTACGTAGGTCCAGCAGGGGCCAGGGGCGGGGCCGCTGGGGGCGGAGCGTCGGGGTTAGGGGCGGCGCCTGGCGGAGGGCTGAGGCCTCCCGCTGATCGCGCGCGCCTCCGAGGCTCGCGCGCTGTAGCGCCGGCCGGGCGTCTCTGAATCCTTGGCGGCCAATGGGGGAGGTGGAGCCCGGGCCCGCGGGCCCGCTGGAGCCCCCGGAGCCACCTGAAGCGGCGACGGCTCGCCGGCCCGGAGGGATCCGGGTCCTTAAGGTGAGGCAGCAGGGAGCGGGAGGACCGTGTCCACCTTCGCCAAGCTGCCCGAGGCGGCGGGCGCCCCCCGCTCTGCGTCTCTCGGCCGCCTGAACCGGGCCGGGGCGCCGCGGGCCTGCTGTGGTCTCTGTGCCGCGCCCCCGTCCGGGCCTCGGCCGCCTGGGTCCCCGCTGCGGTCCATCCCTGGCCGCCGCCCGGCAGGCCCACGACTTCGGGCCGCCGTTGTCCCCCCCACCCCCGCCCTCGCATCCCCGGGGCCGCCGTCGCCTCGTTGGGCCTAGCCCGGGGCCCTGGTGCCGGTTCCGGGGGGCTCGGAGGGCGGGCCGCTCCTGGCAGGAGCCAAGCGGCGAGTACGCAGGATTAGGCGGACACCTGAAGACATCACCCCAGCCAGGGGATGGTGGCGGCGATTGGCCAGGCGCCGCGGTGTGCGCGGGCTGCGCCTGCTGGAGCAACCACACTGCTCTCGAGACTGGCTACCCGAGTTCCGAATGGGCTCCAGGCTCCAAAGCGCGACGCCCCACGCTCCGGGCTCGGGGACAGTCCCGGAGGATCTGTGTCTGGTGAACTCGCTGGGCGTGTTGCGGGGGTGGGGGTAGGAGGAGCAGAGCCCGAAGGGGCTCTCCTGCTTGGGTGACAATCCGGGGAGAAGGCAGTGGGGGAGCCGTTATGCAACAGGCAGCTAAGCGGGGCTTTTTGGTAGAGCCAGGGGAGTAGGAGGATAGGAAAACAGATCCAGGCAAAGAGGGAATGGAGCCTTGAAGGTGAGTGATGACAAGAAGTTTCTATGCAGGAAGAATGCCGAAGGTGAGGTGAGGTCAGCAGAGATGGTTAAAGGGTGGCTAACTGGGTGGAGTTCTCCACTAACCTCTGTAATAGTGCAGAGAAATTCTCCTGTAGGTTCAGTAGATAAATCAAGTGGAATGGAATTTCTCTAGTGTTCTAGAAGTGGAATCGGCAGGCAGGATTTAAAACTTGGCAAAGAAGAGGGGGGAGAAAATTGAGATTTAATGTGTTTCAAAAACAGTTTGCCAAACATCAAAAATGCATATTGTTAAAAGCAATCATTAAGTAATTGAAATTGTTGTTGAGTAATATTTCCTCTTCTTAAGATTATTAGTAAAGTAGCACAACGTGGGAACGCCAGAAAAGTAGATTTGGCACAATTAATGGAACTAATACTCAGTTTTAATGCAAAGACTTAAAGAACTTCTAGTAGTTTACCTTAGACTACTTCTAATTGTTACCCACACTGGAATTTACTCAAGCATAAAGGAGTGTAACTACTCAAAATTTTCTGAATATTTAAATTGACAGCAAATAGCAAACTATAAATTGTGAGTAAATTCAATAAAAACAAAAGTTCTGCAGGCCTAACAGCAGGAAATAGTTTTGAGAGGCATGTAATGTCCTTTGGTATGTAAAAGATGAGCATTTTTTTTTTAACCATGTAACCTTTTGGAGGAAGTGTTGAAGTGGCAAATTGTGTGAAAGAGAAATGAAAATCTTTATTGAAGACTTATGTTTCCCTGGTTTCCAAAGTTCCCATTTTGGGATCATTAAAAAGAGTCCAGTGATTGGTCAGTCTTGATTCTTGATCAGTACTGAGCTCTTGAATTGAGAGCCTATCTGGAGCCCTTCCTAGCCCTTGCTTTCCTGCAAGTGGTAACACTAATACTTGTTAATAAGACCATGGGAAAATAGTATTTGTGTGTTCCACATACAGAAGTTCTCTTAAGTGGCTGGATGGCTCATTTTCTCAAGTGCAGCATATAAAGAATACGTAGGTAAGCAGAAAACATTCTGAACCTTGAAGAATGTCATAATTGCCCACATGTTTTTCTCTGAAGATGTTTCTAAAGACTTCTGTAGCCTAGGGGTATAGCTGTGGGTTAGGAGTGAGGCTCCATGGTAGGGGGTGTGCTTTGAATGTACAAGGCTTTGGATTTACTCCTTGGCCCCAGCTTCAAAATACTAATACTGATTAAAAAAAAAAAAGGAAGGAAGGAAGGACACTTTTTACTCCTTTTATACTTACACTCAATACCAAATCATAAACATTATTCTTAAATCTTTATAAAAAGTATGACATAACTAAGCTAACATAACTTATCCAGATTACATCGAGGACCATCTGTCTGTACAGGGCACTGGAACATTTTATTCAAAATATACTCCTAACCCAGACTCGGAGCTTGTGCCTTTAGTCTCATCTATTCAGAAGTCTAACACGAGAGATAATTTAAGCCTAGGGCAGCCTGAGCAACATAGTAAGAGTGTATCTCAAAGTTCTAAAATTTATCAAATTAACTGAACCAGGCTCAAAAGGTCTTCAGCGTTTCTGGAAAGATGGCTCAGAGGTTATGAGCACTGGCTGCTCTTCGAGAGGGCTTTGGTTCAATTCCTAGCACCTACATGGTAGCTCACAACAGTCTATAACTCTAGGTTCAGGGGATCTGACACCTTCATACCAATGCACATAAAGTAAAGTTAAATAAATTAAAAAAAAAGGTTTTCATATGTTTCTTGTGATATTTGAGATTATGATTTTGTTAAGCAGGAGATGATAGGAAGTTACAGCCAATCTAGTTTGTGAATATTATGATTTATTTTTTCTTTAAGAATAGTTTTATATTTTTATCAAAATACGTATTTAAAGTTGTGTGTATGTGCATGCTTGTGTGCATGTACATGATGGTGTGATGTGTGTGGACACCAGAGGTGGATGTCAGGTGTCTGTCTCTATTGCTCTTTACCTTTTTTTTTTTTTTTTTTTTGACAAGGTTTCTCTGTGTGACAGCTCTGGCTGTCCTGGCACTCACTCTGGAGACCAGGTTGGCCTCGAACCCACAGAAATCCACCTGTCTCTGCCTCCTGAGTGCTGGGATTAAAGGTGTGCACCACCAATGCCTGGTGAGACAGAGTTTCTTACTGAACCAATTCTACAAGTCTGGCTAACCAGTAAACCTCTGGGTCTCCACCTTCCAATGCTGGGATTACCTGTCCAGGGAATTGAACTCAGAATTCCATGCTTGTATGCCAAGCACTTTACCAATAGCTATCTGCTCAGCCCTAATTTTTTGTTTTTGCTTATTAGGTATTATTTTCTTGAGATGGGGTCCTGCTAGGTAGGCCTGACTGGTCTGGAACTTACTATATATTCCAGGTTGATCTAGAACTTTCAGCCATCCTCCTGCCTTTGCTTCCTGAGTACTATATATGGTTCTAAATAGCTAATGCCAAAACATTTTTAGTGAGTTGTCATGTTCTTCCTCTTTCTATTGTCACAATTGTCCTGGTCCCTTAGAAATACTCCATAATGTGATATTGTTGTAAAGCCCTTATTTTAAAGCTTGAATGCAGAAACATAACTTACCTTAAGGTATTCTACATTCTGATGGAGCTGACTAAGGATGAAGATTGGCCAGACCTGTTTTGACTATGTGAGACTTCTGTGTATAGTTTACCATCTTTGAACTGACCATAACTCTCATATATTATCTTCATTTTTAGAATTAGAAATGTTAAACTTGGGGGCTAGAATGATGGCTCAGTGGTTAAGAGCACTTGCTGCTCTTCCAGAGGACTCAGGTTCAACTCCCAGCACCCACATGGCAGCTCATTACTGCCTGTACCTCCAGTTTCAGGTGATCTGATACCTTCATACAGACAAAACACAACTGTGCATGAAATAAAAATAAATTATTTAAAAAGTGTTAAACTCAAGTACTGGCTACTCAATTCATAGCCTGCACTAAAATGTTTGGCTTTGTAGACAGACTTTGTTCTTTTTAGATTCATTTGATTTTATGTGCTGCATTGTGGTGTCTGTGGAAATTAGAAGGGCCCCTGGTTTATGAGTGGCTATGAACCACCATGTGAGTTCAGGGAACTAAGCCTGGGTCCTTCATAAGAACAACAGGGATTTTTAACTGCTGTCTCTCCATCCCTAACTTTTAAATTGTAAGTCTTTGTACGCATGTTTGACATGATACGTGTTTGTAATTGTGTTCCCTTTTGGGTAAATTTGTGATAACAGCTTTTATAAAAGTAAAGGAGAAAGTAAAGTGTCTTCAAATGGGCAGTTTCATGCTAGTTGATTCTTAGAAGTTGAAGGCTTCTTAGAGGACAGTGCCACCTGCAATATTAAGTTCTTTCCAGCAGTTCCTCATGTGTTGGTCAGTAGAGCAAGACTTTCCTGAGAAGGAAGCGCTAGGTAATTTAGCAGTGGCTAATAATAGCCCAACAGTCTATCTTTGTTATTGTTGCTGTGTGTCTTTGCTTTGCTTGTTCTCAATGCCTTTTAAATGAATATTGGTGAGGTGCAGATGAGAGACAGATCTTGAAATGACCAACAAACACAAGTGTTTTGGTAACATAAAGTTCTTTAAGAAATGTATAGTCTTAAAGGAATACATGTGCACATTTACAAATGATTGCTGAAATCCTCTGGAAGGTGCTGGTGTGATGGCATACACTATAATCTTGCACTTGGGAGATGGAGTTGGCAGGATAAAAAGTCAAAGGCTGACCTCACCTATAGAGTGATTTTGAGGACAAAATGGGGTGCATGAGCCTTCATCTCAAACTAACTATCCTTGGAAGAAAGTTCATAATACTTCAGGGTCTTTCTGGACTTGACTTCTCCCTCCCTCCCTCCCTTCATTTTTTTTTTTCTAGACAGCATTTCTCTGTGGCTTTGAAGGCTGTCCTGGAGTAACTAGCTCTTGTAGACCCGGCTGGTCTCAAACTCACAGAAATCTGCCTGCCTCTGCCTCCTGAGTGCTGGGATTAAAGGCTCTATATCCATTTTTTTTAACCACACATCTATTATTCTAAGACCATGAATCTCAGTGAGTCATTATTTGACCTGCTGTTTATATTATTATTGTTATTTTTTGCATCAGGGTCTCACTTTTTAGGTTTGACTGGTCTCAGACTTTCAGTGGTCTTCCTGCCTCAGCCCCCTAAGTTTGGACATTACAGGTATGTGCATCATGCTTGGCTTTGAAAAAGCCTGTCATGTCAGTGTTGTGTGGATTGTGTCTGCTTACTTTTCGTTCTCTAGGGTGGGGTGCAGAGCCTCTCTGTGTAAATGTTCCTTTTGTCACGTAGAACCTGTTAGTCTTCATTAAAAACTAGCTGGTAGTTAACTATTCAGTGGTTATAATTTCTTAGTGGCACAACATGATAGCTCTCGTATGTTTGAGATGAGCACTTGAAAGCCCTTTTAATTGATTCTGAGACATTTAAGCTGAGATTCAGCATGGAGGAAAGTGCATTTGGTAGGAAAAGAGGCCTCATTCCCACCTGTGTCAGGGTTGTATTCTGTATGGTTTTGAATAGTTCTAAGGTCTTGAAGAGCTGCAGAAAGAGATGTTTAGGACTAAAAGTGTCGCTCAGATGCAAAGAGCTTATCTGGTATGTCAAAGCTCGTGTTCAATCCCTAAGACTGTTTTTCAAAAGCTAATTTACCTGTGTTATCCTAAATTTAAACCATAAGGGCATTTATCCCCTTGTTTTAAATTCATCACATGTAGGAATACCTGTTTACTCACCCTTGTTTTTACTCTTTACTGATGAAGCCTGCATTGCTCTTGAACTTGATCCTCTTGCCTCTGACTCTCCAGTTCCCAGCACCTGGGATCACAGGCATGTGTCTCCATGCCTGGCTTAGTTTACAGTTGTTCTCAAGTGTTTACTCTCAGTCAAACTAATGTTTTCTTTATATGTATCTCTGTTTGCTAATGAGGAATACTAGTGAAAGTGTTTTTCTTTATTTTGACTTTGTAGGTAAAGATCATATGGTTTGTTACAAAAATTGACCCCCCCCTTTTTAAGTTTATTCAATTCCTCATCATAGCTAATCGATGAAGCTAAAGTGCAGATTTTGGGTATCAATTCCTGTGTTGTCACCTGGGCTTTACACCTGTGTCTGACATTCTGTAAAAAAAACTCTCAAGGGTCTCGGGGGTGAAGAGATTTCGAAGCCAAATGATTACAATTCATGGTTATGTGTGTGTAGTAGAAGTATATTCAAGGTGAAGATATATTCAAGGTGAAGATGTTCTCTTGAGAGAGAACGAGAACTGTTGATGGTAGAGATGGGTGAGAGCCGGGGAAGGCTCCAAAGAGAACCGGCATCTCACCAGAGGTTTGGAGAGTAAGAGCATGTGGATAAGATGGAGCAGATGTACTCCACATGCCACAGAGTGGTGGAATGGTTAACGTGCTCAGGGACACAGATGGCTAGAGAGGACTGAAACACAGCAAAGGGCAGCAGGAAGTCAGTGGAGAGTTCGTTTTTTGTTGACTAGAAATGACCCATTGTGAAAACAACAGGCAAATGGTGACTTTTAAAAACTATTTGTTGTTGTTTCATTTCTGTTTGTGTTTTGAAATAGTCTCAGCATGTAGTCCAGGCTGCCTTGGAGCTTACTTACGTAGGCAAAGTTGTTCTTACAGTCTATAAACCCTCCTTGCTCTTCAGCCTGGCTGCTGGATTATAGGTATGCCCCACCGTGCCTGGCTGGACATTTTTATGTTGGCTCCTAACAGTTGTTTTGCTTTAAGATAGTTTGACTTCACAGTATGTATATGAATCTCACATACTGTGGTTATAAAATACCAGCAGTAATTGTTTTGAAGCATGCCAGGAATGGCAAGGATATTTGTGTGATGAGTCTGTGCTTAGTGCTCCATGCGTTTATTTGGACTGTGAGGTTGAGAAAGTCTGTATTGCCAGATCAGAGTGAGGAGGCTGTATCAACTCACTTCTTTGTGTGCAAGATTTAGTTTGTATGTATCAGATTCAATCTGAAATGAACTAGTAACTTATTTCTATCTTTTTTACTATTAAAAAAACTTTTAAAATAAAAAAATCATACATCAAAATTAACAAGACCCAAAGACTATACAGTGAAAATTGGCATTCAAAACAGAAACTTGAAACGTCACATTAAATTTTACACTTTCAGTATTGAATATGTTTTATGCACTTATCTACCACCAAGACCAAAAACAAACAAAAAACCAAAAACAAAACTATGACAGAATTAGAACTAGAAAAAATTTCCTTGTGTATATAAACTCATATTCATTACCAGCATTCATTCTTTATATTCAGCTTTTCTTTTGCTCTTTCCTTCCTGTTACACTGTAACATACATTTGTTGGCATGTGTACATATATGGTTGACTTTTATTGTTCTGTTCTTTAGAATAATGATGTGTGAGTTATGTCTGCATTGCTGAGACAGAATAGCCTATAGAAACAAAGTGGAAGCGAGGTTTATTTTGGCTCATGGTTTTAGAGAGTCTCAAGCCATCTGGAAGGAGAAGGCAGAGTTTATGCCCACTGGAGTTCACATCATGTTGAATCACGAGATAGAAAGCACCTTATAAGGAAGGGCTGGCCTATAACCTTGTGTGTGTGTGTGTGTGTGTGTGTGTGTGTGTGTGTGTGTGTGTGTTTGAGACAGTTGAGATAGTGCTGGTTTGCCTGGAAATTTGCAGACCAGACTGGCCTTGAACTTACAAAGATCTGTTTACATCTCCCTTTGAATGCTAGGAATAGTGGTGTGTTTCTCTATGACTAGCCAGCAACAAGTCTTTGAAACTCAGTCTTGGGTTAGTTCAGATTCAGCCCAGAACAGATTTGAAATAAATAAGTCAAAATGTTAAAGTTTGCCCAAGGCAGGTAGTATATCTATATTTTGTTAGCACTTTCCTGAAAACAAAAAGGGGTCAAATGAGATGATAGATGGAGGCCTAAAGTAGATGTATCAGCTCTGGCTGATAAAACTGTTATTAAAGGGGATTTATTAGACAGATTCTTATATATTGATAATTATATAGTGCAGATAGTTCAGCAATGACTGTCTCTCAGTGAAAGGCTGAGATCTGGTAGTTGTTGAGCCCAGGAGCCTGGGTGTCTCAGCAGTCCCAGTCTAGTGTTGGAGTCTGGGAAGATTCCTGAAAAGCTGCTGGTGTTCAGTCTGCTGGAATCCTGAAGAAGTTGTATTTAACACCAGCTACTGGAACAGGGTAGACAAACTTGTCCTTTTATGAGGGCTGCCACGAGATGTGGCCCAGATTTAGGGTGGGGTCTTATCTGTTTAAGAAGATCCCTCATCGGAGTGCCCTGCATCTTGGTTTCAGTTAATTCTAGATGTAGTCAAGTTGACAACGAAGATTAGCCACCACACAAGGGATGCTCGAGTGTAAGGACTGAACACATATAATTCAGACAAATGTTCTTGTTTATGATTTCTTTCTCTTGGTATTTTTTTTAGAGAAATATGAAACACAATGGGGGAAGAAATTGTTTGAATAGAAGAAGTAGGTTTGGTTCTCGAGAAAGAGACTGGCTGAGAGAAGATGTGAAGAGAGGCTGTGTTTACCTTTATGGAGCAGACACGACCACTGCCACTACAACCACCACCTCTTCCTCCTCCACGTCCTCCTCCTCTTCTGACTTACATCTGGTCCTTTGCACAGTAGAGACACCAGCGTCAGAAATATGTGCTGGAGAGGGAAGAGAAAGTCTCTATCTACAGCTTCATGGAGACCTGGTCAGGTGAGGTCTGAGGGTTTTTTGTCCTTTTGTTGTTGTTGATGTTTTGTTTTGAGTCAAGAGTGTCCCCTGTGCCTCATGGTGGTCTCAAACTCACAATTCTTCTGCTTTAGCCTCTTAAGTGTTAGGATTGTAGACATGCAGTGTTACACTGAGCTGAGCTAGCTCTGAGTCTTAACAGTGTGATTCTTTTGTAGGATTAGTAACCCGAGTTTCTGATTGGAACTGGGCTTTAGGATTATGATCATACTCTGTAACTGATGATGATTTGGGGTCAATGGCATGAACAAGATTTGTCCTTGGAATACTTAATGATTTTAATTACCATTTTGTATGTAGTGTATCCACATGTTTATGTATGTGCATGTAGAGGGCCAGAGGTTTATGTCACGTGTCTTCCTCTATTTTTGAAGATTTTTAAAAAAAGATTTATTTATCATGTATACAGTGTTGGCATGTTTGCCTGCAGGCCAGAGGAGAGCACCAGATCTCATTACAGATGGTTGTGCACTGCCATGTGGTTGCTGGAAATTGAACTCAGGACCTTTGGGAGAGCAGGCATATCTTAGCCCTTGAAGATTTATTTTTATTTTTAATTAGGTTGAGGTGTATGTGTTTGTATGTGTGCGTGTGCACATGTGCTGCCTGACTGGGTGCTGGGAACCTAACTCAGGTCCTCTGGAAGAGCAGCAAGTGTGCTTAACTGCTAAGCCATCTCTCCAATCCCTGTTTTTTGAGATAGCTGCTCAACCTGGAACTTATCAACTGCTTGACAGACTGATCCATGAGCCTTGGATATCCGCCAGTCTGTGCCTCCCTAGTGCTAGTGTTCAGGCATGCATCAGTCATCACACCTGGCCTGTGCATGGGTGCTGGAGCCCCAAACTCAGGTCCAGTGGTAGATACTTTACACACTGAGCATTGTCCCAGTCTCTTAGTTTATGATTGTCAAGTTTAACACTATAAACAAGGAAAACTTGATGGTTTTTCTATTTAGAATACACTATAGGTCCTATATACAAATGTAAACATTTTCACAGTTATCTTTTGGGGAAGTGTAACTAGAAAATAACTGAAGTGTACGAAAGGGTGCAGAGTGAGAAGTCCTTCTCTGTGCACCATTCCCTAGCTGTGGAGGCCTTTTCATTGTTATTATCAGGTTCTTATACATTCAAGCGCATACATGCTCATGCCTCTATATCCACATTTTAAATGCAATGATGCTGTACACAACACACTATTGACTTCATATTCATATTTATATAAATATGATTTATTTAATGACTACATGACTATTCCACTTTATGGGTCACCATAGTTTTAGCTGATCTCCCTAATCTCTCATTATGGAATATTAACCTGCTGCCTGTTTTTAGCACAGCAGACAGTGCCACTGTTGAATTCCTCTGTACCTGCTATCTCACAGAGAAGTCTTTCTGGAGGGTAAGCCAGAGAGAAGTATAGTATTCTTGGTCAAAGGATATGATCATTTATAATTTTGATAAATATTTTCAACTTCTTCATAGAGGTTATATGTCCATCTAAAATATAAAAAATATGGGGCTGGAGAGATTGCTCAGCAGTTAAGAGCATTTGGTTGCTCTTCCAGAGGATCTAGGTTCTTTTCCTAGCATTTACATGGTGGTTCCCAGTGTTGGGATCAAAGGCATGCGCAGCCACCACCAGGTAGCATTAAGTTTTATATATAAGTGCAGACACATACTCTTGAATGATCTGAACTTGCTTATAAAGGATAATAGTTTCAGTTTTTGTTGGTTTGTTTATGATTTATTTACTTAAGGTTCTGGGTTTAAACCCAAGGCCTCAACCATATTAGACAAGCACTGTGTACTGAGCTGTGCTTCTAACCTTTGTTGACAGTTTTAGAATTAGAGAATCGTCAAGTCAACTTTTTAAAGACAATCACTTTCCAAGTCTTTTGGAAGGTTTTTGTTTGTTTTTGAGACAAAGTCTCATATAGCTGAAACTGACCTTGAATTCCTGATCCTTCTTACTTCTACCAAATGCTGGAGTCAAAGGGGGTGGGGACACCACCATAACAGGCTCAAATAAGAATTTTGCCATTCTGTTGTGTTAGTATTTATTAATTAGTGAATTTGAACATATTTACACAAGTGTAAAACTAATTTTTGTCATAAATTTTTATATAAATATGAAGAAAAACAGTCTTGTAGTTTTATACAGTGTATCTGAATTCTTTAATTCAACTTAAAGACCAAAGCATTAGTCCTTTAAATGTTTCACTACACTTTTCTGTCCTTCCTAGAAAGAATTCCAAGCTGCGAATTGAGCATTATTGAGGTGTAATGGAGCAGTGAAGCTACTCACACCTCAGAGGTGTGGTAATAGTAACACCTTTAGCTGAGCCAAAAGCTGGTGCCTCTTTAAGTGTGAACTACGGTTACTGTGTATTCCTTTTAGGATCTGGACAAAATCCTGAAAAAGTAGCTTAGCATTTGAATGTTTTCTCTGTTTCCAAGTTAACTACATTTCCTAAATCCTTTTGTGAAACAAAGGGATCAGACTGGGTGATCCTTAGGCTCTTCTAAATCTTAATACTGTTTCTGATCTAATTTTATCAGGTGGAAAGCCTTGACCTATATTATAGCAGGTAGTGGTGGATGGTGCTTACTTATTTAGGCAGATGACTTACTCATTTACTGATATTTGCTTTAGAAGATGCCAGGAATGTGAAGAAACACCCCTCCATTACTTTGTTCCCAGTAGTTGTGCAATTAGTTAAGAATTTGAATGTGATATACTTTATTTACATATGAGAATGTAAACTGTACTTAAGGTGTAATGTTTATCTCTTGTTAGCCCTGTAGCTTTGATAATTAATAGTGAAGTATCTCTTTGAAGATGTAATTTATTAGAAAATATTGAAAACACTGTTGAACTTTGGATGATCAGAATGGAGTAAGAGCTCCAGACTCGACATTTAAGGAGGAGGAAGAGGCTGCCTGGTCTCAAGTAACTTTAAGTGCTTATTTGTGCTAGTCAGTGCTGTTAGCATATACTCATTTTCTCATCGCATCTTTACAAGAACTTTGATTCAGTCTCCTTCCTTTCATGTGAGGAAGACTGATGCTTTGAGATGGTTCGGTGACGGGTCCAAGGTCAGGCAGATACTGCTAGGCAGTTGAAGTGACTGATTGACATTCATTGTGCCTGATGGACCCCTTTCAGAGTAAAAGGTCTTGGAGGAGAGCAGCTGGCACAGCAGCTCCCCCTATCTAGTTTTACTGCCTATCATGTTTGCTTCTTCTGATCTCTTTAGTAGTTAATTGCTTGAGTTGGTCTTCTATTATCTAATCAGGAGTAGGTCCTTTCTTCAGAGTAGCCCTTTGGAAAGTAGTTGATAATCGCTGCGGCAGCATTGTTGTTGAGAACCTTTCCTGCTGATCACTGCTCGTTGAAGAAATTCTGGAAAATGAAAAAGCATAAAGAGAAATAACAATATTCACTGTGTATGCTTTATGTAGATTACCTCATTAAATCCAGTCTTGTGAAGGAAACAGTTTCTATTGTGTAGGCATAGTAAGTGATATCTGAGAGATTATTCTTAGATCAGCTAGAAAGTGGTTGAACTGTAGTTTGAACCCTGACATTCTATTAGAATATGAGATTCCATCCTCACAACTTATATTGGCAACTTTTTTTTTCACCAGATAATCACACACATAAGTTTTAATAATTGCATATTTGAGCTCATATCATATATTCAGTTTTATATTCTTATAATTCTTTTAGTATAAGATCATCTTAATTTTATTGTTATTAAGAATTTGACTTTAGACACCAGTTTTGATAGTTTAAGGCTATTATATCTTATAGGTATATTATAAATTGTTTAAAAATCGAATGCTGGGGGCAGGGAGATGACTCAACATGTAAAGGTACTTGTTGCCAAGCCTGAAAAATTGAATCCCTGGTACTCACATAGTGGACATGCATACCATGATGCGTGTGTACACCTACACACTAAAACAGTTTTTGCTTTTTTGTTTGTTTTGTTTTTTGTTTTTGTTGTTTGTAAATGAAATTCTTAATTGGTCTAAGTAATAAAAACCCAGGGTCGGATATAGAGGAAAAATCAGAGAGAAGGAGCAAACCACTGCCACACCTTACCTCCTTAGCATCTCAGCAGACAAGAGAATGAGTTCCTGTTTCTCTCTGCTTATATCCTGTTTTTGGCCAGCTACCTCACTTCCTGTCTGTCTGTACAGACCTCCAGACCTCTTTGTTAGCTAGTGGCAAGCTCTATTCTCTGACCTTCAGACAGGCTTTATTTGTACAAGTAAGATATCACTTACTTGTACAAAAATTGTTTGAGACAGTTTTTCTTTGTGTAGCCTTGGCCATCATGAAACTCACTCTGTATACCAGGCCAGCCTCAAACACAGAGATTGGTCTGCCTTTGCTTCCCAAGTGCTGAGATTAAAGGCGTACACCACCATTACCTGGCTTTCCCCACCCCTCCCCTAGTAAAGCTGGGTGTGTTGGCACACATCTGTGATACCAGTACTTGTTAAAAATACAGATTGTGATTCAGAAGATATAGGATAGTCTGAGATCATACTTCTAATTTGTTTGATCTGTTGGTTTTTGCTAGATAGGTTTTTCTATGTAGTCTTAGTTGATCAAGCATTCTCCATGTTGCTCATTGTAGCCTTCAACTCACAGCAGTCCTCCATCCTTAGCCTTGCCCTCTGAGTGCTGGGGTCACAGGCATTTGTCACCACTCTTGACTTTTGAGATAGTAGCCCTACTAAGCTCCTAAATGATGCATAGCATTTTAAGTATCAATGAAATAAAGCACTTACTCACCAGGGAATGGCCCTATTTGAAAAGATTAGAAGGATTAGGAGGTGTGGTTTTGTGGAGGAAATATGTCACTGGGAACAGGCTTTGAGGTCTCTCTCTGCCTATGGATCAGAATATAGCTCTCCAGCACCTGCCTGCATGTGGCCATGTTTTCC